CTAGCCACACACAGCCACTGCACAACTAGTAGAGGTGATTCCAAAACCCTAGTTGTGAATTTTGTCTTCATGTTTATTCATTTTATTATTAACTACATGAGACCTTTGTAGATTGGTTGTCTCTATTGTGAACAATAATAGAGATATCTTACAATTCACATATGGTATATTGTGCATACTATACATAAACACTCTTATACATTTGTTCATAGCTTACTATGTTACAGTACCCTATTATCACAAATCATTAGTCTTTATTTTATTGCACATGAGCATATTTTTCTTAATTACAAAACTCATTTACTGTTAAAAAAACATTTACAGATTTGGTGCCTTTGTACGAGCTTCACGTGTCTCCGGATGATATTCAAATGCACGATAAAGTACAACGATGCGTAATTTAGCTTTTACATGTATGTTGCACGTTTTAATAAAACGTCTAAAACGAAATTTCTTGATTATTGTAAGAAGCTGAAAATAACATGACGCTGCATTGTTTATACCTTACAAGTAGTAACGTTGGAGTAAAGCTTTCTTGTTAGGAACTATTGTTGGGATTTACTACTATTGCATTGTAGAGTGACAGAGGGCTGACATCTCAGGCTATACCTAATTTCACACAAGTTTCTTCGATGTATCTTCAAGGTATTGTAATGAGCTTTTTAATTGATATTTTGATAGACTAATGTGACGTAGTTGATTGATTTAAATAAACTACCATGTGTGTGTTGTTCTATCTTGCTGACATATTTTTTGTCTTGCTTATTACATGCTGTTCTACAGTATCTTGCTTACATGCTGTTCTATCTTGCAATTGCTGACATGCTGTTCTATCTTTCTTACATGCTGTTCTATCTTGCTTACATGCTGTTCTATCTTGCTTGCTTGTTGTTCTATCTTGCTTACATGTTGCCCTATCTGCTTACATGTTGTTCTATGTTGCTTACACGCTTTTCCATGTTGCTTGCATACTGTTCTATTTTGCATACATGCTGTTCTACCTTGCTTACATGTTATTCTATCTTGCTTACATGCTGTTCTATGTTGCTTGCCTGTTGTGCTATGTTGCTTACATGCTGTTCTATCTTGCTTATACATGCTCTTTTATCTTGCTTACATGCTGTTCTAGCTTGCTTATATGTTGTTCTATCCTGCTTACATGTTGTTCTATCTTGTTTATATGTTGTTCTAGCTTGCTTACATGTACATTGTAAAGTCGTGGGTTCAAGTCAGAGAGTCCGGTAGTGTATCTGGTAGAGGGTGTTCACGTTAGAGGGTCCATGTAGTGCCTCTGGTTGTGAGTTGGGTTGGGGTGCTCGACGTGTTCAGCTTGTGGTAGGTTCATCATAGAGATGTTCCTCTCTCCCTTCTGTGGAAGGCACAATACAACAGGTTTTGTCTGTACCAATTAGATACATTAAGGCTGATTAACAAGCGTATACGTACAATACATGATTTTGTAAAACCATTGTAGGACTGACTTTGCTAATATTGCCGTGTGACCTACGAATTAAGTTTTTTTTTCTTAAATTTGAAGGTAATAAAAGATCAGAATCTTTTTTGCCATGGAAATATACTCAATATCAGTCATGTAAAAGTCGCTTCTGTCAGAAAATGATAGAAAGCTGCCAGTTACTGAAAATAGTTCAGTCTCTTCTTTTTTTGATTTGACAAATCGAAAGGAAGATATTTACCTTTTCTTGCCTCTGACGTAGCCGCCACACCGCTCGTGCCAGGACGAAAATTAGCAGCACATTCGCCACCGCTGCTGTAAGTAGAATCACGGAAAACATTGCTATGTTCACATATAGCTCTAACTTGTCAGTATTTTCAAAAACTGATGATGTAATCTCGGTAAAGATGGAATTGGCCGTCTCGTTGCGGAGCTGAGAGACGTGGTCCACACTGCTTTGTGTACTATCTCCATTGGCCACACTGATTAGAATAACAGCATCAGAAATCCCACTTCCTGTTACGCCGACATTAACGAGCTGCAAAATAAGAGCCACGACAGCGACTACAACGAAGGCCACGACGAAGATCTGAAACAAAAAAGAAAACAAATTAAACATGTGGTAAACTTATACATACAAATCCATCTTAGCTAAAACTCATAATAAAGATCGATCTTACCATTAATTTATACTTTGGTAGAAGTTTACAAGTTTGGGTAACAATTATTTGAATATCGAACTATTTAATGATAGCTTGACAGGCTGAATTAAAGTTCTAAACGGGAACTATGCGGCTCCAGATGTCTTACTGAGGGACGACTGCGTGTGCAAGATGTCGGTAGCTCGAGGAATGAATCCCCTCTACTATATACTATATTTAATGATAGCTTGAGTTAGAGCAATGTGTTGGTACCTTGGACGGATATTTGTTGTTCACGATTGCAAGAACCCCGGTTGCAATTACCTGAAAAAAAATATGAGATTCGAGCATGAATGCCTAGTTATAGAGTGCAATGTTATTTCATGCTTGAAATGAAAATGGGTGAAACTATTTTGTCCGTGTTCTAGCTAGCTGATATTTTCTTTTGCATACAGTAAAATCTACGAGGCCTTCGTTTTGCCCTTTATTTCTTGCCTTTTTCTTGCATTCCATCCCCTTATTCTTTCTCTGTTTCTCATTCCTAGCTATAAACAAAAATAATAATCAAAAAGCAAAAACGCCCATCCACTTACACATAGTCCGCTCCACAGCGGAGCCCCGGCCATGGCCTGCCAGGTCATACAGAAGAACAGGCCGACGGTCCCCACCACCAGACTGGCCACGCCCACCCCGATCAGCCAATAGGCGAGCGTCGTGCTCAGGAAGACGACGTCGTCCCCCGTCGGGTCTTCGGACTTCTCCGGATAGGCAGTCGGCTTTTGACGATACACCTAGAAATTTAAGGATAGGATTTATTAATTTAGGATATACTCAATTTGGAATCTCGGCGTTGTCATATACTACAAAAGTCATGTAAGAAACAGATGGATACTTTTGGTGCTGAAAAAAACGGAAATCATTTCTTTAACGACAATGTCATTTGACTGACCTCGGCAAACGACGGCTGTCCCTCGGGATGACCTCGGTCCTCATCAGAGACGGTTTCCAGCGACGTCGGTGCCAGGAGCCCAGGTCTTGGCGTAGGCGGGTTGAAGGGAAGACCAGACCCTTGGTTGAAAGATCTTTCCAGCGATTCTTTCGGTGCATACGAAAAGCCTCGGTTAGGCTTCTTCGCCGGGATTTCGTAGCCGTCGTTCTGACTGCTTCGGGAGTTTTCGTCGTCCGATTGGTAGGAGTCGTCTCTCGGGCGATACCGAGAAGACGCGTCGGAGATGTAGCCGTTCTCTCGCTCCGGATATGGCCCGTTCTTCGCTAAGGGCCGGTGTGGGCCTTCTGGTACGCGGGGTGGGCTGATGTAGTAGGTGGGTGGGAAGTCGGGACGGTGCCCAGTAGCAACGACGCCTTGCGGGTTAGGAGGGCTGTGCATGGGCTGCCCGCGGCGCTCACTTGGTGGCATGTCGTGACCACGGCGGTCGACAGGTGGTGCTGAACGGCCGCTACTGGGGGGTGCTTCGTCTCTACCGTACGGGCCGTCGGTGGGAAATCGTGGCCCCCAGGAGACGTCGTCCCTGTCGTACTGGGACCTCCCACCAGGTGGCTCTCCCGGTCTGCGACGGTCGATTCTGTCCGGTTCGAAGTCCGAAGGGACTCTTGGGTCGTGTGGCGTGTTCTTCCGCACATTACGCTGGTCTTGTGGTGTGAATCGCCGATTTGGTGGGACTTGTTCTTTGGGAGTGAAGCGGCGCTGTCCGGGGTTGTAGTCGCGTGTAGGCATGGCACCGTCTTTAGGCGGGTAGCGGCCGTTCTCCCTTTCGTCCCAGCGATCTTCAGGGTCGTACCTCCGCGGCTGCCCGCTTGGTCTACGGTTCCTGCGGTCTGGAGGGCGGAAACCATCGTAGGAGTCATCTGGCCCTGGAGCCCGTTCTCTGGAACGTGGCGCTTCTCGTTCTCGAGGAGGATACCCGCGGCCGTTGGGACTGTACCTGTGGTCACGTGGGTCGCCCGGTCGGCCCAGCTCGCGACGGTCGCCCGGGGGATTTCGCCCGACGTCCGGTCGGCTCGTTTCGTGGCGGTCGTTCGGTCGGTTTCGTCCAACATCGGGTCGGCCGAGATCGTTGGGATCGTCGCGTCGGCTTCGTTCGGCCTCCGGTCTGCCCGACTGCCGAGGGTCTTCTCTCCTATCGTGTCGGACCGGGCGTCTCTGTCCGAAGTCCGGTGGACGGCCGTCTGACTCGTAACCGTCATCATGTCTCCCACCGGTCGGGGACCCCTGCCCCCACCCCCTTCCCTCCTCACCCCCTTTCGGCCTCCCCCTCTCCCTGGCGCGTGGCTCGTCCCGATCGCTTGGTCTATCCCCCACACCGTGTCGACTTCGGCTCTCTTCGTAATCACTCGGAATTGGGCTGTACGGCTCCGACTGGTTCAACCCGCCGCGTGGCCGTCCCAAACCGCCAGGCGTTTCTCCTGCAAAGGGCCTGCCTCTTTGCGGCCCTTTCCCGCCTGGAGGAAGCGCGGGTCCTCCCGGTGATTTAGCGAACAGGCCCCAGTTGTCGCCGCCGACCCTTTCGGGAGAAGACCGCCAGAGTCGCCCCCGTTGTGCGTTAGCGATCCGCTGGGACTCCCGGTCGGACTCGTCATCCGAATAGTCAGACGGAGGGATGAACGGTCGACTCATGACCGCTGTCTGACCCCGTAAACTTTGACCCCTTAGCAAGGTAGCAAACCTGTAATCGACAAACAGTCAAAGGTTGTTAATCATTGTCAAAACACTCTTGTCATTGTGTGTTCTGTCTGGTCATTTGTTACATTTTATCTGCCGTGGTCTTCAGTTGTTGTCAGACCGGATGTGGTTCACACATTATTGCAGACATTTCTTAAGACAAGCATGTTTTTGAATATGGCATGCCCGCAGCCAGGGAGCTCAAGGATACAAGGCCCAAGCCACATAACATTGAGGCCGACACTTGACGATGCCCAATGGCAATGTTTTCTTCATTTTGCAGCAAAGATTTTGCAATCTATGGAAGGTTTTAGGTGGTTTGGAAGGAAAAGCGGGGTATGTGACATTGTTTTTTTTTTTTTTTTTTT